GGTGCCGGGCTGAGCCCCGAGCCCCCTCCCCGGGGAGCCCCGGCTGGGGTGGGCGAGGGGCGCCTCTCTCCCTCCGCGGCCTCTGCAGGACAGGGACCCCCTGTCGCAGCGTGCACCCCCCCCGCCCCCAGCTGCACTCCTGCTTGGAGCACAGCCCAGCACGGCACGCACCACACCCCAGCACGCTCTGTGCCCCACCGTGGTGACCGTCCTATCCCCGAGTGCCCCTGGGCACGGCGGGCACCCCTCTACCGTGCGCACCCCTCTATGGCGTGCAGCCCCCCCCGCCGTGCATCCCGCTTGGCTTACCACCACATGCCCCCTGCACGCAACGGTGCCCCCCACCCACATCCAGCAGTGGCTTTCGGGGTGCCAGGGGCTGGCAGCAGGGCCCAGGGCTGCACACTGCTGTGCCCCAAATCAATGCATGGAGCAGCCAGCTGTGCCCCCACCCCAGCCTTGGGGCTGGTTAATGCATCCCCCTGCCCCCACCTCCCACACACATCAGGAAAGACCCCAGAAAGACAAAGCTGCCAGGTTTATTCCAAACGAGACTTTATTAACACACGGCAAGGCGCTGGGGCCAGCACAGCCAGGGGAAACCTGACTCACGCAGCAGGGAGGACCGGGGACCTGTCCCCCCATGGGGAAGGCTGGCCAGGAGAGCCCTGGAGGAGCCGGAGCAGCAGCCAAGGCTGGGGGGATGCAGTGGGGTGTTTGCCTCCAGCCACAGATCCCCGAGGTTCAGTTTTTCCAGGCTGTCTGGGGAGGCAACACTGGCCAGTGCCCAGGTCCCGACACACAGCCGGTCTCCAGAGCCCCTCCGAAAGGCACCACGGTCCTGGGGCACCAAGCAAGACAACAGCAGCTGGTGAAAACCAAACCCCCCCTGAGGCAAGGCAGTGGTCTCCACTAGAAGAGGGTATGGAGGCACCGCCAAAGGCACTAGACAAACACGGAGACGGTTAAGAGCTTTAAAAACATCCTCAAGTCTTTCTCAGCCCTTGCTGATTTTCCCTGCTTGGCACTTCATCCCTTTCAAATTAGAACAGAAGACCTGCGAGAAGGCACAGCCCAGCACAGCTGCTCCTGCATGCAGAACCCGAGGCTAAGGCAGAGCTGGGGCTGTCCCCGGCCTCGAGGGACAAGGCCACGATGGCTCCAACCCGGCAGCAGGATGCCCAGGGCCACCTTAGCTGAAGTCCCGGTCTGGCAGCACCAATGGAGCCACCAACGTCCAGAGGTAGAGCAGGAGCCCAGCCCAGCTGGAGCAGATCTTGACCCACACGGCTGTCCAGGGGCTCGTCAGCACCCGGAAGCCAAGGAGGGGCAGCGAGGTGGCCAAGGCGGGGGGGGGGGGGGGGGGAGGGGGGCTGTGAGCGCCAAGCCATGGCTGCAATGCAAAGGGCATGGAGGAGAGAGCGGCGGAGCCCTGTGCCTGCAGCCACGCAGGTCGCCAACGCTCACCCAGGGGATGCAATCCCGGTGCTGCAGCCTACAAGCACCCCAGGAGCTGGGGCCCCGCTCCCCCCATGTCCCAAGGGATCCTGGGCTGCAGCAAAGGATGCTGCAGTGGGGAGCTGGCAGCCCTACGCCTCCTAAAAATAATTAATGCTGATTTGTGTGTTAAGTGGGCCTGCACACAGATGCATCTTGACAAACAGCTGTGCCCAGGGCGAGAGCAGGGAGGACACCAGGAGAAGGGGACGCAGCAGAAGGGGGACGGTCCCCGGTCCCCATGGGAGCTCTACCCACCTGTACCAGTTGGTGAGCGTCATCATGATGTAGAGGGCAGCGAGGAGAAGGCAGAGGTGGAAGAAGGTGTAGTTGTAGGACACACCATCCTGCTCGTTGTCGTAGGCACGTCGCAGCCCACTCTCCATGGCCGCCGCCTCGCTGCCTGCCCCGGCAGCGCTTTCCTCCGTCAGCATCAGCTTGTTGACCTGCGGATGGGCCGAGGAGCGGACACTGCGGGGCGAGGGAGGGG